TGAACTCAAGCTGATTGATAGGTCTATTAATAATGCAACCAAACGCTTAAGTGAAGATCGTAACCCTCACCCGGTCCAATTTGTAAACATTTTCAAATTTAATGATATAAGTTTTGCCCTATGTACTTTAGGCAAGGTCCTCTCTTTTATATATTCAATAAATTCATTTTTTTAGATAAAGATAAATAACTCTTCACCTCACATCTATTTTTTAATTCTCAATACCCAAACTTTATAAAGCAACATTTTCTTGTGGTCTATGGATCAACCCTTTATTTATTACTACAATCGAAACATATATACTTACAACTAAACCTGACTAGTGAACACTTTCAACTTCAAAAATTAATTAGTGAGGAGAAATAATAGAGACATTTTTACTCATGACAATTACACATAATATTTGTTCCCATACAATTACACGCAATATAGAGAACTTAAAAATGGAATGTTGACACTTAGTATGGGGAAATGACATGATTAAAGGAAAAACATAAAATAAAAAACATTGCACTTATAAATGCATGTTCTATAAATATTGAAATGCCAAACTCGGTTTACTAATATATATAGTTATGGATTAACTCGTTCCATTGGACCCAGAACCAACATTATTGATCCCAAAATATGAGAAAGGGCCAAGCATGCCACCTCTATCAATAGGAGTTTCCATGATATGAGTCATTGATAGTTGCTTTAGTGTTTGATTGTTTTGAATGCGGAGGACTTCCAAGCGGCATTTCAGATGTTCTAAATCACACAATTGTAAATCAGAAATAAGAGGTCTACATTTTTCAGCTTCACACCAAGCTTGACTTTTTTTCCTTTGATCATGAAGTTGAGACTCGATTTCACCTATCACGGGAGTTATTGTGCTCATGTTAGCTCCATGATGGGCACGAAGAATCTCATCAACAACTCTGGCTTGTGGTGTATTCCTTTCACCGAAGTATTTATCGAGGACAACGTGCAAACATGGGTTCCCAAAAGTATAAACTTTATTTGAGGGAGAAAATATCACCAAAGCAATATCAGCACCGGTGAGAGCACACATTTCACTAGCCTTTTTTATTAAACCTGAACGGCGTTTAGAGAACGTCACTTGGCGATAAACTTCATTTTCGATCTTTTTTAGAGGAATCTTTTGACGACCCCTACTGAGCCTCTTATTGGCAGCATTGCTAGACATTTTTAAAACTGTTATAATGTATTTGGCTTATAAAATAATGAAATCAACTCTGATATACATCATAGATGTTAGCGATTGTATTTATAGCCAACTTGTGGTGTCATGTTGGTATTTTTATGGCATGTTATGTAATGAGGTATAAAATTAATATTACATTCAATATAAATCCACTTTTATGACTTTTCCAAACGGGTTTTGAATACTTTTATGCAGGTATGATCCAACTATGTTAATATCATAATACCTCTTTACATTTATAGAAAGTAGGTTATGAACCAGAGTAACACAATTAAAAACTTCTCCACTTATTAGATATGGTAAGTACATTTATCATCATCCCTTAGGCGCTTACATATCATCCCTGTTTTTAGCATTGTTGCTAGAGATTTTCAAAAATAAAATAAAATATTTGGATTGAGAGAGATATTAGATCAACTGTTTTAGCAGAGTAGTGATAGCTATAACAGAAGCCGCTAGTGGTACTCTAGAGAGAAGGCATACCTAATTGATAGAGAGCGAAACTAAAGTGTAATAAATCATTTTCGAATCCGTACAACTTCCCAGGGTGGAGCTGTTTATAGTAGCAATAAATAATGGTGCATTTAATGTACTCCACATGCGTTCACTAGTCTACTTGCGAAGCCCCACAGGATTTGTGGGGATGGCATGTGGGGATGGCATGTCGTGTCGTTGATGTCCATGCTACAACAATCGAGGGTGCATGTTAACCTTGTGTGAATGTGGATGATGAAGTCCTCACATGATCCATCCACTTGGTTTAGGCCGAGTGGACACTTGATGATGGTGCTCATCTTGATCCTTAGTTGATCCGTGTGGGAACTATCTGACCTGTTCGGGTTTTGGTACTCTCAGATGGATAGGTCTTAGTCGGGGATATATCTATCATGTGCTGGACTGGACTGAAATGTCTTACGAGTATGTGGATCATGAGTCTACGGATATGTGGATCATGGGTCTAACCCCATACGTACACTCCAACAGTATCTCCCACTCCATTTGTCTAGTTCAACCTTAAAATGGTAAGGGCCCCGCGAAGGGGTCAGTACACATGTACTGGCAAGACGTAAGCTAAATGTAGCATAACGAACGTTTCAAGAATCAGACCCCAACATAGGGTGATACATAATGTATACTCCCTCCCAAGTCTTTGAATACATATAAGTATATACACTTAGAAAATATTCGACCCATTGGTCAATTTTTTACATATTGTAAGGAATATTTGTAATTAGATTTTGATGATGCTATATTAATTAGGACTTTAGAGTGCCCCTCTTTAGACTTAATGTATTAGAATTTTCCTTTGTAAAGTTCTTTAGTATAATCGACTGGCAGAAGGCCTCCAAAGCAGAAGGCCTCTAGAGCAGAAGGCCTCCAAAGCAGAAAGCCTCCAGAACAGAAGACCCCTGACAGAGGACCCTTGATAAGGCTTTGGTTGAACAGAAGACCTTTGGTTCTCTGCTTCAGAACAGAAGACCTCAGGGTCTCTGTTAGCATTTACTCTGACAGAAACCCTCCTGGTTCTCTGTTGGATATTTCTTCAACAGAAGTGCTCAAGACCTTCTCTGATCTACTCACTGCTAAATACACCAGAAGGCCTGACACTTAGAAGAATTTCAACAAGTCGGTAAACCAACTGAAAGATTCCTTCAACGGCTAGGAGTCTTGAACGGAAAAGCTACAGTACGCGCATTAAATGCACATTTAATGCCTCCCGTACTCTGTAGAGTAAATGCAGATGATTGGCCGCAATGTGAGGATAACTTTATCCCAAAATAGTAACCCGCCAACTTTGCTGGGTCCTACTGGTCAAGTCAACTGCTCGCTCATTTAATGCAGTTGTCCTCCTTCTCCTCCAACGGGAAGACAGCCTCAGTATAAAAGATACACTACGAAGAACAACCGGTTAACTTTGCTACAATTGTGCGCATACAAAATATTCAAACGCTAAAAACGCAAAAGCCTCCTTGAGATTAAATCTTCATTATCTTCTACAAGAGAAGGCAGACGTTGGAAAAATCCTTATTTCCAACTCAAGCAAAGTTCCAAGTGTTCTTCAACTCTTCAAGCTCTTCACATACAAATCTTTTGTAACGAAGCAAGTTGGAGGAACCCCTGTTCTCAACAGAACCTCTTCTTTCACAAGAAGGACGTCCAAGTACCTGGAGCAGTGAAGTGGTGATACTTCCGGGAAAGCTCAGTGAAAGGCAAACTTATTAAAAGCGACCAAAAGCGCGCTTAAGCGCTGAAGCGCAAGCGAGCGCATGCTTTGCGCCTGGCTTTTCCGAACCGCAGCTCCGTGAGAAAGCGAAGCTTTCCGACGTTTTTCCGTCGCTGAGCTTAAGCGCAAAAAGCGCGATTTTTATGGGCTTCTCACGAAAAGCGAAGATGACTGTCCAGATGGCTTAAATCCTTTTTTTTTTGTTTTTCCGGAATTAGGTTTAACGAACACTGCCCATTTCTTTTCCCCTCTGCGTCACACGAACTCCTTACTCCTCTCTCCATCGCCAAAGCCATCCACACGACCTCCTCTCTCCATCGCCAAAGCCATCGCACGACCTCCTCTCTCCGTCGCCAAAGCCATCGCACGACCTGCTCTCTCCATTAGTCCATCCGCTGCTACTCTGCTTTTCACACTGGTGAGTGGTGACTGGTCTGCTACTGCCTATCTTCTTCTTTGTTTTGCTGTATTTCTTCTTTGTTCCGCTGCGATTGAACTGCTCTCTCCATCTGCTGCTACTTATTGCTACTTATTGTATTTTAACGTAGTCTCCCATAGTCCCATTGCACATGTACATTCCATCCCCAACCTGGGAATGAACAAAGTGCTGCTGGTTTTATTATTTGGCTTTTTTTAACAAACTTGCCTGGTTTTAAACATTATACATTTTTGAAACATGTACGTCTAAAAGAAAAATGTCGGGAATGCAATCCAAAACGACGGACCCGGCATGGCAGCATGGAGAGAAAGTCTCACAAAATGATTATACTCGTGTTCGATGCATTTATTGTGATAAAGTAACAACTGGAGGCATATACCGTCACAAGCAACATCTTGTCGGTGGCTTTCGATGTGTGAAGGCATGTGACAAGTGTCCTCAAGAAGTTAGAATTGCCATGAAAGAGGTTTTGGATGCAAAAAATCAAAGAAAAGAATATTTGAAAGAGAACTCTTTAGGTCCTGATTTTGATGATGATGATGTTGAGGAGATTGAATGTGAAGATGGTACGAGCAAAACATCAACAATAAAAGGCCCAATGAATTTGTACTTCAAAAGTGTTTCAAAAGAACATCAAAAATTGAAAAGAGCAAGAGGGGTAGAAGTAACTCTAGCAACTTGCAAAAAAGAGTTGAGAGAAAAGGCTGTAACTGCATTTGCACGATGGATGTATGAAGCCGGATTGCCATTTAATTGCGTGAATTATAAGACGCTACAAAGTTTCATTGATGTTGTGGCACAACACGGGCCAGGCATGAAGGCTCCTACTTACCATGAAGTGAGAGTGCCATATCTCAAAAAAGAAGTAGATCATGTGAAAGAGCTTTTTAAACCACATGAGGATATTTGCAACCAATATGGTTGTTCATTAATGATGGATAAGTGGACTGATCGAAGAAATCGGGCGTATATCAACGTCGTAGTTAATTGCTCACTTGGATCGTATTTCATCCAATCAGTTGAAGTAAGTTTGGACACCGTGAATGGGGAGAAAATGCTAGAGCTCTTCGAAATCTTTGTGAATAGGGTGGGAAGTGAAAATGTTGTTCAAGTGATATCAGAAAATGCTTCTGAAAATGTCAAAGCTGGTAATTATCTTTTTACACTTCTATTCTTTATCTTTAATATTTTTTTAATTAATTAAAATTATAATAGTCAATTGTAATCGCTCAGGTAAGGATTTAATGGAGAAGTACCCCGCAATGTATTGGACTCCTTGTGCTGCTCATTGCATCAATTTGATGTTCAAGGATATATTTGACCTTAAGCATTTCCAGACAACCTACAAAAGAGCTCTCAAGCTGTCGGTCTACATCCATTCCAAAACGAAGTTGTTGAACTTGTTTAGAAAATTCACCGGCAAGAGAGACTTGGTGAAATTTGCTAAAACACGATTTGCCACGGCTTTCTTGACATTCAAAAGGTTGAAGGAGCACAAGATGAAGTTGATAAAACTTTTTAATTGTGAAGAGTTCCTAACAACTAATTACTCCAAGGAAGAGGCGGCAAAGGAGTGTGGCCGAATTGTGCAAATGCCATCCTTTTGGAATACACTTCATGAGGCACTTAAAGTTGGAGGACCACTTATGACGACACTTCGGTTGGTTGATGGAGATGTCAAACCGGCTATGGGATATGTTTATCCCGCAATGGAGATAACAAAATCAGCAATAGCCAAAGCCTTCAACAATGACGAAACGAAGTGCAAGAGAGTGTTTGAGATAATTGATACGAGATGGACTTCTCAACTCCGTCAACCATTGCACGCGGCTGCTTTCTTCTTGAATCCGGATTTCTTTCGATTTCCAGGTGAGTCACCGGTGTCTTCTACCATTAATTCGGCTGAGGTGGTAGCAGGATTTTATGACTGTTTGGAGAGATTGGTTCCAAATGAAGAACTTCAAACGAAAATCGCAAATGAAGTGTCAACTTGGGAGCTAGGACATGGATTATTTAGCAGCTCATTTGCGAAGAGACAACGAGGTGTCAAGCCCCCAGGTTAATATTTTTTAATCGTTATATATATTCTTTATTTTAAAAAATTAATACATTAACTTTTTAAATTTATTCTCTAGTTGATTGGTGGACATCATTTGGTGCTAGTGCTCCTCATTTAAAGGAATTTGCGATCAAGATTCTTAGTTTAACAACAAGTGCATCAGGTTGTGAAAGGAATTGGAGCGTATTTGAACATGTAAGAATAATTATTTAAATGTAAATAAGTAAGATCATTTTCATTTTTACTTTAACTGACTATGCTAACAACAATATTTAAATGCTTAACAGTTACATTCAAAGAGGAGAAGTCGTCTAGAGTACAAGCGCCTCAATGATTTGGTTTTTGTTAAGTACAATAGGGCATTGAGGCGTCGGTGGGAAATGCGTGACTCTATCGATCCAATTTGTTTAGAATATATAGACATGGCAAATGAATGGTTGACGAGTACTCTTGATGATGCAAACGAAGAGTTGGTCTTTGATGATGGAGATACTTTGACATGGGGGGACGTTGCGAAGTTTTCCGGTGTACATGATACACCATATTCTCTAAGACGCAATTCAAAAGGGAAAGAAAAAGTGGGAACTTCCAAGTCCAAGTCCAAGGAAAAAGCCTCCACCCATAGGCTTGTTGATGAAGATGAGGAAGAAGATGAAGAAGATGTTGGGGTGTATAATGATGATAGTGATGACTTTGATGCTTTGGTTATGGATGAAGAAGAAGGGAACATTCATGTGGAGGATGACATTATGGAGTGATAATGCTTCGTAGAGTTGATTTTATGACATTATTATGACATTGTGTGATGGATATTTTCTACCTTTATGTCGCATTATTAGTACTATTATGAGTATTATGACTATTGATGTGTTTTTGACTTAAATATGCATTGGAATATTTTATATTTGTATTTTTCTATAGCCATCGTTTTTTGTGTAAAAGCGACGCTTCTCTTAGCACTTTCGCTTTTTATAAAAGCTCTAAGTTCTCGCTTTTGGTCGCTTTTCGCTTAAAATAAGTTTGGTGAAAGGACCAGTCTTACGGAAGCCAGAAGTGCATCCAAGAAGACATCTACACTTGAAGAAGACGTGGAGAGCTTCTTAAGTGATAGGGCTAAGGCGTTGTAAACGGTCGTTTTTACAAGCTTAGTGGAACAATGGATTAGAGGAACAAGTTGTTCCTTGAACCACTATAAAAAGCCCTGGTGTCATTTACTTACTGCATTTTACTTATCACTTTTATTTGAACTGCTTAACTCCAAAGACTTGGTATCTGTGTTCAGCAGAACTTGTCTTGTGAGTTAACAGAAGGCCTACTGCCTTTGCTTCTTTGAGGCTACTAACAGAACTCCCTACCAGAAACCCATCCATTGCCAGTCTGTTCTGCCAACAGAACAGGCTATTCTGTTTAATCTGGTACTTAGCTTGAAAAAGTTAAAAACCAATACAGTCTATTCACCCCCCCTCTAGACTGTATCCAGTACAATCGGGATCAACAAGTGGTATCAGAGCCTCCTTGTTCTAATAATCTCTTAGGTTATTAGCAGAACAAAGATCCATTTGTTTTTCTGTTTTGCCTCATTTTTAATCTGATATAATGGATCACTCCCTTTCCAAGAATCTTATGTTCTCAGATCTCAAGTTTGATGACTGGAGGATCCGAATGAAGGCACATCTCTGTGCACTGCATGATGAGATGTGGGAAGTACTTGACATTGGGCCCTTCACAAGCTTCCAGAAGGTCAACCCTGAACATGCTATTGATAACACCAGACCTCAGATGATCAATAAGGCCAAATCTGAGTAGACTACTGAAGAAAGAAGGAAGTACAATCTGGACAACATTGCTAAAGACATTCTTTACAAGTCCATTGATGATAGGTACTTCAACAGGATAAAGAAGTGCAAGACTGCAAAGGAAATCTGGGATACTCTTGAGCTCATTGGAGCTGGTGATGAGCAAGAGAAGGACAACAAGCTGACTATAGCAACCAAGAAGTTTGATGACTTCAAGCTTCTTCCTGGTGAAAGCATCTCCAAGATGTATGACAGGCTCCTCACTCTCACTAGAGAGATCTCTGAGCTTGGCAAGGGACTCACCACCAAGAAGATCAACCTCAAGGTGTTGAGGGGACTGCCCTCAGCATGGAAGATGAAGGTGGTTGCTGTCCAAGCCAGCAAGGATGTGAAGACTTATCCCACTGATAAGCTCATTTCAGATCTCAAAGCTCATGAGTTTGAAATGATTGAAGAAAAAGAAGATGTACCAGAAGAGAGGACCACTACAGCCCTCACTGCCAGCACATCAAAGGTATATGATTTTGACCCCTCAGTACTTTTATTTGACGAATATATGGCTTCTTTTGCTAGGAGATTCAAGAAGTTTATGAAGAATCCCAAAGATGGAAGAAGTCCATCATTCAGCAGAAAGCCATTCCAGAAGGTCAAAAGCTTCTCTGTTACAACTGCAGACAACCTGGACATTTCAAGGCAGAGTGTCCACATCCAAGAGTGTCCAAGAAACAAGGACATGATGGAGAAAAGAAGAAGTATGAAGATAATTCCAGAAGAAGGAAAGCACTCGTAACAGAACAACTCGAGAAAGATCCTCTGTCTGAGACAGAATCCAGTTCTGACTGACTCTGATGAGGCCTTCTGTTGCCTTGATACAGAGACAGAAGACCTATGCCTCATGGCTCATTCTGATGATGAGGTAACCTCTACTTCTGCATCTAGTTTTTTCTTCGGTAGGCTTAGCTTTTGATTCTGATTCAATGTCAGAATTTTGGGAAGAGTTTAAGGCCATTCAAGCCACTTATTCCACTGTCACAGAAGAAAACAGTAAGCTGAAGGCTGAAATTCTTGACTTAAAAAAGGAGGTTGAGACCAAAATCAATCTTCTAATTAAGGAGAGAGATCAGCTGGAAACTGAAAATGTTTCTCTTCTCAAGAGAATAAGAGAAATTGAGCCTCTTGAGATTAAGTACAAAGCTTACCAGAAGGCTCAGTCTTCCATGGAAAAGATTTTACTTGATCAAAAAATTGGCACAGGCTTTGGTCTTGGTTATGGCTCAACAGAATCAGGTGAGCCTTCTGTAATGCCTAGCACCAGTGTTGCTAAGGCAGATAAGGTCAGAGTGCCACTGATCTCTAGCCCCATCTGCCAAGCTGGTGTATCTGGCACCAAGGTTGTTCATGAGGAAGTCAGACCAGAAAAAGGGAAGATAAAGGTTCAACAGAAGCCCTTTTTGAAAAATAATGAACCTGGCAGAAAACCTAACAACAGAAAAGGTTTTCAGAATAACAAAAATAAAAGACCATTTATTGACAGACAACCTCATGATAACCGTACCAGAAATGACCACCAGAAGGGCAAATATCAAGAGAGAGTTAACTTTAGGCAGAAGAGGTTGGCTGGTCAACTTCAGAAGCCCAAAGCTAACCGTCCCTCTACTCTTGATAGTATATGGGACTTCTTTCCAACAAAGAAAGCTATGCAAAAGTATGTAAACAGGAAGCATGACCCTCACAAGCATCTGCCCAAAGTGAATCACACTTCGGTTTACTATAACTACCAGGTGGACAATGGGTACCATCCACCAAGGTTTCACCTGATGAGACCAAAATGGTACCAACTACCCAGACTCCATGACCCCCCAGGACCCAACATTGCTTGGGTACCTAAATCTTTCTTTTGATCTTGCAGGAACTGTGTGCTGGAGCTATCTCAGAGCAAGAATGGTTTATTGATAGTGGATGCTCCAGGCACATGACAGGTGACAGAAGTTGCCTAACTGAGTTCCAGAAATGCAAAGGACCTAGAGTTACCTTTGGAGGTAATGACAAAGAAGGTCAAACAAAAGGAAGAGGGAAGCTGATCAAGAACCAGATAGTCATTGATGATGTCTCATATGTCAAAGGACTGAAGTTCAACTTGCTGAGTGCTAGCCAATTCTGTGACAAAGGTTACACTGTTGAATTCACAAAAGACTTCTGCTATGTGAAACATGAGACAACAAAAGAAGTGGTTCTTACAGCATCAAGGAAGAAGAACATCTATGTGGTTGATTGGAACACTGCAAAGGATGGAGTTTGCCTGATAGCCAAGGGAGATTCAAAACTAAGCTGGGACTGGCACAAGAAGCTTAGCCATTTGAACTTCAAAAGAATCAACAAACTGGAAAGAGAACACATTGTTGATGGACTGCCAGACATAGTTTACAAGAAAGAGACCCTCTGCAGTGCATGCCAGAAGGAAAAGCAACAGAAGAACTCGTTCAAACCCATTGCTGGAGATCTTTCTACAAGTCCTTTAAATCTGATCCAAATGATTTATTTGGACTTGTTGAGACTCCAAGTGTTGGTGGCAAGAAATACACTCTAGTCATGGTTGATGACTATTCCAGATATACATGGACTATCTTTCTATCAAAGAAGAATGAAACTCTTCAGAAGTTGCCATCTCTGTTAAAGCAACTTCAGACTGAGAAGAACTTGAAGGTTAAGACAATCAGATCTGACAAAGGAACTGAATTTGTCAACCAAGTCATAAAGGACTTCTGTGATCAAAATGGAACCTTTTATCAACTCTTTGCCGCCAGAACCCCTCAGCAGAATGGCGTAGCAGAAAGGAGAAACAGAACATTAAAAGAAGCTGCAAGGACAATGATTGCAGAATCTGGACTACCTATGAGATACTGGGCTGAAGCAATCAACACTGCATGCTATACCCAGAACAGAAGCATGATCAACAAGAATCACCAGAAGACCCCTTATGAACTCTGGAAAGGAAGAAAACCCAACCTCAGTTAGTTTCATGTGTTTGGATGCAAATGCTACATCCTTAACAATGGAAAGGAGCATCTGAAAGTCTTTCAAGAGAAAGCTGATGAAGGTATCTTTATAGGCTATTCAAACACCAGTAAAGCCTATAGAGTACTCAACAGAAGGACTCTACATGTTGAAGAGTCTATACATGTAAAGTTTGATGATAGCACCTCTGTTAAAGAAGTAACAGAGATCCTCAAAGAAGTCAGCATAGAAGACAGAACACCAGAACCAACAGAAGAGGTAACAGATAACCCTGCATTTCCAACACCTGCACCAAACCCCCTTCTATTGAATGAAGATGAAGATTCAGAAGATGAAGAACAAGAAAGACCCAGACAGCAACTGACAGAACCTGATTTGACATGGTTAAGAGATCATCCCCCTAGCCAAGTAATTGGACATATCAGAAGTGGTGTGCAGACCAGATCAGCATCAACAAGGAGAGAAGCAATGCTTGCCTGCTATATATCTCAAATGGAACCCATGACTATAGAAGAAGCTCTTGCAGACTCAGATTGGATCAATGCAATGCAAGAAGAGCTTACTCAATTTGAAAGGAACAAAGTATGGGAACTTGTTCCTAGGCCAAAGCACCAGAATGTCATTGGAACCAAATGGGTATTCAAGAACAAAGCTGATGAAGATGGCAACATTGTAAGGAATAAAGCAAGGCTGGTAGCTAAGGGTTATTGCCAAGAAGAAGGAATAGATTTTGATGAGACTTTTGCACCAGTTTCCAGACTGGAAGCCATCAGAATATTTTTAGCCTATGTTGCCTACAACAACATCAAGGTCTACCAGATGGATGTCAAAAGTGCATTTCTGAATGGAGATCTTGAAGAAGAAGTTTATGTGGAATAACCACCAGGTTTTGTCATTCCTACTCACTCCTCCTGTGTCTACAAGCTTAAAAAGGCCCTCTATGGTCTTAAGCAAGCTCCCAGAGCATGGTATGACACATTGTCCCTATTCCTAGTGAATCATGGGTTTACTAAGGGAAAGGTTGACAAAACTCTATTTCAAATCTCTGTTGCTAATCATATTCTATTAGTACAAATATATGTTGATGATATTATATTTGGTAGTACTAATTCAGAACTGTGCAAGAAAGTCTCTCAAGTA